TAACATTTAGATAAGTATTAAAAAGATGTTTGTTTTTTTTATTTCTAGCAATAATAAAAAAATGTAAAATTATTTATATGTATAATCTTATATTTTTTAGGTACCAATTCCTGAAGATTTGGATTTAGATTCATGGATCAATGATCCACCATCAGAAAGTTCAGATTCAGAAGATTTAGATATGAATGACATTTTCATTAAGACAGAGAAAATTAATGATTCTTATTCTAAACGTGAATTTAATGAACCATCAGCAGAAGAACTTGAAAAACGCCGTGAAGCTAGAAAATTGGAACAACAAAACAATCCACATTATTTGAAAGGCACATTTAAAAATTCCACATCATATCATAATTCATCAAATATTTATGAGGAATTTGAAAACATTCCCGTAGCAGAATTAGATATTCCAATTTCTTTAAAAATTACAAATAATCATAAAAGATATAAAATACATGACAAGAAAAAGAAAAAATCTAAGAAAAGTATATTGAAATTTTATATGTACATATAATTCATAATCATTATAAGATATTAAATTGTAAAAATGAAATTTTCAGATAAAAAGCCTGCTTCGGAAGAAGAGCATGATGATATTTATCCTATTCAAATAGTAAATACTGGAATAGGTGAATTACCACCAGGTGCAGAATTAAGTGACAGCGATGATTATGATCAAGTGGATATAAATGATCCACATAGAGCTTTAAATATTAATTTAGATTTACCTTTGAGAGATGATGAAAGATTACCTGTCTTAGAACATAGAGTTATTGAAAATAATTTGAGTCAAGAAATTACTGAATCTAAAGGAAAGAAAAAAGAAAAAGTAATATTTTTTTTCTATTCATTTGTTGCAATATTAAATATAAATTTTTTTTAAACAAAGAAATTTTTACCATAATTAAATATTATTTTATTGTATTTTATAGGGACATAAAAAATCTAAAAAGAAGATTAAAGAAGTTAAAGATAAATGCTATGACAATCAATTAGAACTTACTAATATGTGGTTGGAAAATAATACTTCTTCGGAAAATATTCAACCACCTGTTACTAATGAGTATTCTGAAGTTCTCAGTGAAAAAGAATCAGAATGGAAAGATACTAAACGCAAAAAATCAAAAAGTCAAGAAAAGTATAAAAAGACAGATGAGAACTCAAAACATCGAAAATCAAAGAAATCTAAAAGTAAAAAAGAATCTTCAAAAAAATCTTCAGATTATGAAGAAACAGCTGGAATCTCAACACCATCTAAAGAAATATTACCAGATCTAAGATATAATTTTACAAATTCTGAGGATAATACAATTTTAGAACCACTTACTTCATATGAAGAATTAGCTAATAATAAAATACTATCTATAATGTACAAATTAAAACAAATTCCTCATGAATCAAATAAATTAATTGCGTCAATACTCATTACGAATAATTGTCAAAAGCCTGTAAAGGAATTAGTTTTTGATGTTCCAGATACATCATCTTTGAGATTAATGAGAAATGTAAGTTAAATATACATAACAAATTTTAAACAAAAAAATTATATATTTTTAAAATTTATTATTTTCGTTTTTCTTTTTATAAATATTATTTCTTATTATGCACTTATTATTTATTTTTTGCTATAATAATAAAATAAAGAATCTGTTTTAATAAATATATATGATTCTTTTAGACTGGAGATGAATTTGGTATAAAACTGCCATTCCAATTGCCTCCACAGATCACTAAAGAAACACAATTTACTATTTTAATCTCAGATGTAACATTTGCTCAGAGATTGAGAGGCACACTTACGTATATGTTAGAAAGCAAAGAAAGTACGTTGCAAGAAAAACTTGATTTTACTATACATTTAACGTGCGGTAAATTCATGGTTGGCCACCTTTCACATAAGGATATATTAACAGAATTACTTAAAAGTGGTCAACTTATATATAAAGTTAAAAAAGAAATTATTCTTTCTCAAGATTTTGATGTTATTTTAAATTTAATTTGTAATAAGTGTAATCTTACACTTGTGGAACAAATCAATGATACTGCATCTTTATATGGACATTCTTTGAAGGGACATCATGTGTGCCTTTTATTAAAATGTAATGTAAGTAAAACATTTTATCTTTTAAAATTTAATATTATTAATGATTTTAATAAAGATATAATAAAATTTTTTTTACAGAAATCATCAAGAAATTTGGTAATTGAAGGTAAAGGTGACAATAATACGTTATTGTCAGGAATTGGAGACGAAATTTTAAGGATCCTGACATAATATAAATTTAAATTGAAATTTTTCCGTATTTTACGAGTCCTATCTTTATTCATTACATTCATGCTCATTGCATAACTCAATAGAAAAATGAAATTTTAATAGTATTCATTATATATAGCTATGGAAATCATCTTTGCAAACTTATCGAATATTTTCAGAAAAAAATCTTATCTAAACTTTTTAAATTTAATTTAGGTAAAGAAATTTTAAGTATATGCATGTAAACAAATACATGTATATGTATAAATATCACACATAATAAGTGTGTAAGATAATGTTTCAAGAGAGAGAAAGAGATTTATTATTGGGAATTGAAGACATCAGAATGAAAGTAGTTTATTTTATTTATATGTAATTTCAATTTATAAATTAAAGTGCAATAATAAGATAGTAGTGATAAAATTAAATATTTATTTTAATTAATTTCATCATTTCTTAAGTAATAAAAAGTTCTTTGTACAATTTACTATATGTAAATATTGTTATTTAACAATTTTTTTAAAAATTGATCTTGTTTTATATAAATATGAATAAAACATGTTTATATAATTCATAGCATTGAAATATTACATTATCTTGCCAAAGTAAAGCATGATAAAGTTATTATGTGAAATATTATTTATAAGAATATTCATTTGTAAAATATTGTAATGAATTATGAAAATTATACATATTTTTAAAAATTAACTACTTATACGCTGATATCTTCAATTTTATGTTATTAAAAATTAATATCATTACATTGTTGAACTTCTGATTGAACTGTAAAATACATCATGGATACTCGCGACTCGTGTGAATGTACATCGATGTTTCTCAGCGGAATATATACTTTCTGCATGTAATGACTTTGTAATATCAATAATTTAATACATATAAGAATTTATAATAAGCATATAAATACGCAATACAGTAACATGTGGAACACCAAATGTAAATAGCTGATACTTGTATGCTGATAAACAATATCTTTATTTTAAATATCTTCCAAAAATCAATTTCATTTATATGAAAAAATATTCTATATAAGAAAATAATTTAATTGCATTGCTCTTCATTAACATTCAATGATTTATTTATCATTTAAAATCATAAAGAACAAATAAGTACTAATGAATCATTGAAAACATTAACATTAAATGCCAGTAAATGATTTATAAAAATTGAAATTAATACTTCAGCATTTAGATAATGTAAACAATGAGAAATAGAACTATTACGTATCAATAATACAAATATTAAAATTTTACTTCTAAACTTTTTGCTTTAAATATTCTTTCTTGTGTAAATTTTTAAATTACCTATTTTTTAAAATATTTGAAATCAAGAAACTTTCATGGAATATAAATTTTGTTATAATGACATTTACTGTGCCAAAAATGATTAATCAGTAACAACTTCGTCCTTGAAACATAACAATATAAAGATATATTTAAGCCAAATAATTTTTTGTTTCCTTTTTGCATTTATATATAAATAATATTAAATATATAACATATTGATTTGAGAAAATTATTGATATCATGTTTTACATTAATTATAGTTTATGTATACTGATGTTTATAATATTCGTTTTTACGAATAATAATCTGTTAAACTTATTCATAAAAATTGTCTTACTCTTTGTACTTGATATATAAAGAAAAATAGATTTTATCTTTGAAAATATATTTTATGTAAACAATTTTTTCTTATAAAAAGAAAAAATCTCATGTAAACTATTTTTAATTTTAACTTTATATTTTTTTTTTTTTAAATATTTAAATATGTTTAAAATTGAAATTTAATCTAAATTTATAAATAAAAGTTAATTCTTTTTTAATATATCATTTTTTATCGTATATATTTAATACATTAATTTGTGATTAGCGAAAGTATTCAATTAACAGTTATTAGGTGACTATTTACTAATTCATTCTATAATTATGTGGCTACATATAGTCTAATGGTAATCGGTATTACTAATAATTGACTGGGGTTAGAGATTAACATGAAAAAAAATAAAGCAACAATCGAATACAGACTGTATTAAATATATTTGTTTCTTTGAATTTTATTTTCCAATTTTATTCACATATTTTAACTGAAAGAATTTTAAATTGATTGCTACCTGAGAATAGACAGAGAAATTTAATCTAATTTTGGATTGAGTTTGATTTGACTTACGTAGTTATATTCTTAAATAACTCGAAATAATTTATTATTTCATATCGAAGAATCGAATTGAATATCGAATAATAATCTATGATTCCCGCCTTAATGAACAAACATTTAAATTTTAAAAAAAATATATTGGAAATTTATATAATAGAAGATAACTATAGAAAATTTTAATTAGAGCTATTATGAAATCAAATATCGAAATATTTATAAAATCTAAATAAAATCTAAAAAAAAATCATTCAGATATCAGTATTCATTTTCAAAATTATTTATTTTATTTAATTGCTTCATTTATTTATTTAATATAAAAAATAAAAAATTTTTTTAACAAAATTATATATAGTAGAATAAAAAAAAAATGAAATAATAATTAGAGCAGAATCATAATCATTTAAATCGTTTCTCAAGATATTTATAAATTATATTTTTTTTTCTTTATCTGTGATTGATCGAATTTGAATAACTTATTGATTTCTTTTTTTAAGTTAGTTTTTTTTAGTTAGTTTTCATGATTTTCATTTTTTTAAGTAAAAATTTATCTTTAATAAACGACACACATTTTTCTTTATCTTTTATTTTTATATAATCAATTAAATTATAATACATTTGTATAAATTAATATTTCTTTTAAATTTTTATCTAATAGGAATTCATTTTTCACACATTTTTTTAAATGTATCTATTTATAATGAATATATCGACAAAAGATAAAACATGTACAAAACAAAATTAAATAAAAAAAATATTATTTTTAAATATTATTCTAAGAAGGATGAAGATCATATCTGTACAAGCATTAAGGGGTAAATAAAACGGAAAGAAGATTACTTCTTTATTTTAGTTGATCGTTTTTTCTTTTTTTCCGCAAGTCGATATGGTCCCAACTTCCGGCGCACCATAACGCCTCGCCACCAAGCTTGAATCTTGATTGCGCTTTTTTGCATGCGTTTCCATCGCTCCTTCTCCTTTTTCAATGCCTCCTTTTCCGCCAGATACGTGTTTATGAACTTTTGATTACATCGATACTGTAAAAATACGGTTTTAAAAATCGATTTAATACTTAAAGATTGCAAGGAAGAACAAATATAAAAAGAAACAAAAAAAAATATGGAAAAAAATTTATAAGTATATAAAAGTTATAAGTGTAGTTATATTTATTTTCGGTTTATATTAATTTTTTCATATGAACAAATCCATTTATTTCAATAGTGTTGCAGATAATTTTTAATTCTTTCATCTAATCGTCGACTATAATGGAAACAAAATTAACCAAAATACTAATTTCTTTTCCCTTTATTATTTCTTCATTTAAATGAAATTTAACATGATTTAAAATAACCACAAATAGACTCTTGACACAAGTTATCGATTTCCTAAAAGAATTTCCGCGTTGATTCTTACGCTTACGAAAATAAATTGTCGAGTTTTGATTTACAATTAATATAACAACGATAAATTAACAATTCAGAATATAGAATAATTAATAAGCTACGATATTACATTTACATTATTCATCCTTTGTATTCATTGCATTTATATTTTTTTTCTATGCATCTTGATTTTTATCGAAATTTTGAATGGAAAAAAGTTATATAAAATTTATATCGTTCGTTTAAGTATTTAATTTTATTATGTAAAATGTAGAAAAAGAAAAAGAAAAAAAAAATATAAATTTATACGTGATTATATAAATTTATACAAATTACAAGTTAAAAAAGAAAAATTCCGATCGAACAATGATTTAATATATTCGTTTAATATATTCGATTTAATATATTCGATTTATTATATAATATAAATTTAATATATTCGTTTGAAGAAAAACAAACAAACATGGAACTCTGTTTGTTTGATATAGAAATCGAGCTACCTCTTCTTTAAGTTTATCCATCTCTTTTTGAATTATTTTTATTTCAATTCGTAACTGTTGGATCTCCTTCTCGTAGATCTTTTTTTCTTGAATATATCGCTCTTTCCATTCTTTGTTTTTTTTCTCTAGTAACTGTGGATTTAAAAAGAAAATTTTTATCTTATCTAATTTCCTTTCTTTTTTATATGAACATCATAAATGCTTTAAAGGTTTTAAGGTTATGTTCGATGCTTGAAATTTATATACATTTATTCAATTCGTGTTTCATACATTGTTGTAAATAAAATTGTAAAAAAAAAAGAAAATATAATATAGAAAATGTTTATTTATATATTTTGTATGAAATAACGTAATTGAAAAATACGTTTGTATAAAAGTTCGCAATTTGTTTATGATAATTGAAACAGAAATAACGCTCACTGCTGTTTCCTGGGTCAGAAATTTTGTTAATTCGGCGTGAACTCGCCGTTCATTTTTTTCACGTACGCGCTGATCTTTTAACATCTTCTCCAATTTTTCTATTTCCATGTTGCAACGCAATGAATTCTGCTCGTATCTTGCTTTCTCCCATTCCGTAACATAATCCAACTCCATGTTCGAGATTAATTTTAATTTTTCCACGTTATCCTATTGTGTTGTATAAATAAATAAATAACAGAAATAACAAATAAAATGAATAACGAATAAAATAATTGTTTATAAAATTAAAAGATTTCAAAAGATTTTTTCAAGGAAAAATAAGAATACCTGTTCCTTTGAGAGCTCGTTCAACATTCGTATTTTCTCCTGCTCGTTAACAATCTTCCTCTCATCGATTATCCTTTGCAATTTTGCTGTACTTTTTCTCAATTTCTCTTCCTCTTTGAAAAAACACTCCTCTTTTTTCTCGCGTGTCACGATCTTTTCGATCTCTTCGGTTAATAATTCGAACGTCCCTCGTTCTCGTATTTCTATTTTCAACTTCTCCATGATTCTTTTCACGTATAAACTAAACGTTAAAATTTAAAGTATTATCATTTATCATCTTCTCATTAAAATATGCTTCGAATAAGAAATAAATAAATAAAAATTATCATTTATTTTTACGCATAATTACGTATTATTACGAATTGTTTTCTTGTACGTTTCTCCAACCTATTTTCATGAATTTTCTTCGAAATGTCTCGTTCTTTAACATCGTCGATTTCCATAATTTCCATTTTGGGATTTATTGCTTTCAAGTCACTGCAACGAATATAAAAATAAAATTGATTTTTCAAGAAGAACATACTTTTCAATCGTGATCGGTAAAATTTCGATCTAGCATTTCGGTTTAGCATACTCAAAAGGTAAACAGTCGACAAGAATATCGTTATCGTGTCTCGTGGGCTTTCTCAGCGTTCCGTGGTAAATGGCTAACGCATTCGTGAACTCCTCGAGCGCTGCTAAAATTACGGGCCGTTCCGCCGGGGAGAACCGTAAAGAATCATTCGTGGCCATTGAGTATCTCTTTCTCCTTCTTTCACCTTTGCATATTGAATTTTATCTTATATCTCGCGTTAACGTTTCTCTTTTTCTTAATATTTTTTTCAAATGGAATTATATCTTTGATAATTTTTGTTTGAAACAAGCTTTTGGGGAAAAAATTAGAGTTAAAAAGATGTTTATTTAATAAATTTAACGCTTGTGTTGCTAGTAAAATATTCAATGTTGAAAATATTACATATTTACAATTATAATATTGATATACCATTATTCAATCTTATATATTTACATTTATCCATTTGATTTTTATTCTTTATTCATTCAAATGAATTAGCCTGTATGCTACATATTTTTTCTTTAGTTTAGTTAATTTTAAAAACAACTTACATTTCATTTAAATGCAAATCAACCGCTTGTTTTAAACGGTAAGATAAAAATCGCAATTACTCTTTTTCTTTATTCTTCTTTCATTCTTTCTTCTTTCTTCTTTAACACATTGCGGTCACTCACTCGCTCACTTCTCAACTCCCGAGTCTCAAATTAAAGTTATAGATGTCGTTAGTGTAAATGCTATGGATCTGGTGTCCAGTTAATTAAAATACACGTGCAAAAAGAATACGTAAAATTAATCATGACACGGCGCATGTTTGACGGAACTAAATATTCGAGAAAGGTGGTTCGCCGAATTTCAAAACACGTGATACGGTTTGATCCATTACTGGCACGTCGCCCTTGGAAACAGCGTTCCATTCGAGCGTCTTTCGGTTCAACTGTATTTTTACTATTGATCGAACCGTTTGAATTGTTATATATTTTTCGTATCGTCAGTCAAAATTTTAATTTGGCGGATATACGATTTTTTTTTTTAATATTTTAAGGAATAATTTAAAATTACTTTTCTTTTACCGAGAATAACTATTAATTGCATTATTTCCTTCTTGTTAAAAGTTTCAAGTTCTTTCGAAGGAAAGGGACCGCGGCAGAAGGTCGAGTCAAAAACAGTTAAGCAGTTGGGAAACGTTATAGATAGTCTTCCATGTTAAAGCTCGATTGAAGAATTCATTGGGAAAGATATCCTGTGGACACTCGACAACTTTCTTCCTTGGTGCTATTCGTCGATTGTCTCAGCCGGGTAGTTGGCTGTCGAGAAAAGAAAGGTTCATTCGAATACATTCCCTTCTAATTGGAAAACTTTTTTGTACCTTGAACTTTAATCGAATCTGCATTGTCTAAAAGTTATATATATATATATATATTATACCAACTCGTGGCTTGAGATATTTATGTTATCTGTAATTCATTAAAATTGTTGAAAAAGAATATAAGTTAAGATATAATATTCTGTTGTTGAACAAATTTTTGTTTAAAAAAAAAAGTAATTATTTCTTTTTTCAATTTTTATTTCAAATTATGCATTTTATTATAATCTTTCTTTAGGAAGATTATTTTAATCTCATATATTTTAATCTCACGGTGGCAATGAATTTGTCATAATCGTTCTATAAAAAGATAAGCAGTATAAAATGAATACAATATTTTTAAATTTCTTTTTTTAATTTTTATGATTCATATTTTCGTTCAAAGATTATAAAAGATAAAAGGAATGTAAAGAATCTTTTGATACTTGTTTGTAGACAATCTATGAAGTAAAAATAAATTATTTTAGAAAAATGATTTAAATATATTTTGTATCAGATAATGTGTGTGTATATATATATATATATATATACAATCGACGCGCTTCACTATTATGCGCGCTAACTTCAAATTACATCTAATTTGCATTCTAGTGGCCAATAAAGCTAACAAATTTTTTTTAAATTCTCATTTGATTTAATTTAACATAACTTATTAATCTTTTAGTACGAATCATACTTGTTTTAATTAAAAAACAAAAAAGCAGCAAATGAAATAAATATAAATCGAGAAACAAAAGAATTTTATGAAATAAAATCGAATAATTACAAAGAATTCTTTCAAAATTATATGATTCAAGTTTCATTAATTGTCTGCTGAAATAGTAAAGCCATTGAGAATGATGGTACTTTAAGCTTGAAAACTGACAAATGTGGAGGATAGAGTTTGATAAAGGTGACAGAAACACGTCGGAAACATTGTAACGGGAATGTAATGTGCTTCCGAAAGTTTCGTCGTGCACGAGAATTCCGTTTTGCTACGAAAGCTTGGAAACAGGAATAAGATGTGTACACATGCGCACAATCGAGGC